AATCCATCAGGCGGTCATCCAATTTCCCCCCAAACAAACCAGGAGTTCAGTTGTGGGGGTGCTGGTACCCGCCAGATGACATGTTTATTGAGCATGCAGCCTCATTGTTTGCACAAAGTCTGTGGGCAGGTTTGAGGGCTTATTTGCTTGCAGGGAGGTTATACGATATTGCATCAAGCAAGCAATATGTGTGGTGCACTGTCCTGTCACTTCTCTTACTACAAAAAGGTTTCTGGTCCAAGCTGGCTGACCGACTGAACCCAACAAGTGCTCTCTAATGGTTCCTCATCACCCTGGGGAAAAGTGATGTGTGGTGTCACAGAGTTCTGTCCTGAGCCCGTTGTTAATCAATTGAAGGAATTGAGGGGAGACCCACCCAAGCCTGCCATTCTCCACCCATTTTTTATTTATCTACTGCTTGTCTCCTTACCAGATGAACTATTTGCAGTGAAAAGAAACCTCTTTAAAAACTCAGCCCTTTTAAGCTGCCAGTCATGGCTCCCCTGGGCACGATGCAACATTTAACCATGTATTTCTATTATTCATAATTGATCTCCTCTTGTAAGGAAATGTAGATGGCGTGTTCATTCCCTAGTTCGACGTTGGTAGCAGACATATCCTTTGCAAAACAGAATTGTGACAGGTAGCCTGGGAATGCACCCACGGAAAGAACAACAAAAAGATCAGAGTCTCATGTGCTTAGAGGGGAAGCAGCAGCCATGAAAGCCCTCCTCTTGCGAAATCTACAAAATGATTGTACGGTTATCAGGTGCATGCTGAAGGTCTGAAGAGCTATGAGTTTCATAGATGAGTTAAAACCTGGTCTCCCAGGTCCTAGTGTCCATAGGATGTTTTAAACAAGAGGCTTGCGATGATCAGCAGAAGAGTAACTGTATTATGAATGCAAAATTGTGGCATTAATGCAAAATCCACACTGACCAGTTTTCCCATTTGCATGACACAAGCCCCCTTCTATGTAAACCCTTCCACAGCAACAACAGTCACCGATTCACCTAAACCAACCTGGTTTAGGGCTGACTGAGAGTGGTGGGAGTTGGAGTCCATAGCATCAGAACTGCTCCAAGTTGGGCATGGCTGACTTGAACAGAGCAAGGGAGTCTCACATCAGGAGAGCACCAGGTTGCGGGTGGTTTGTATAAATGCTTTGCAATCATCCCCAGTACAGTGGTACCTCGGGTTAAGAACTTAATTTGCTCTGGAGGTCTGTTCTTAACCTGAAATTGTTATTTCTTTTTAGAGGGGGGAGTCCTTCGCCAGGTGAGCTGGCTCTTTTATTAATTTTTTTAATTAATTTTCCAGAAAAAAGAATTTTTTAAAACAAACAAACAAACAAACAGACAAACAGACAGACAAACATACATACATCTCCACCGTAATTAAACCAATCTTCATTGTTAAGTGATTTCCTCGTATCCCCCTGGTTGAATTTCAGTGTATATCATTTTAACAGTTTTCCAAAACCTAAATTCTTAAAAATTTAACTTAATCACTTAACATCTTTCTTTCTTAACCATTCAACTTTAAACACATTACATATTTAAATCCTAAGCCTATCTGGTAATTGCAAGCTTTCCATTTAAGTTAATTTAACATGTTTAACTAAATAGTCTTTAAATTTCATCCATTCTTCCTGGTAGTCCTCCTCCTTCTGGTCGCGGACTCTTCCAGTCAGGTCGTGAACCTGAACCTGAACCTGAAACTGTTCTTAACCTGAAGCACTATTTCTGGGTTAGGGAAGTCTGTAACCTGAAGCGTATGTAACCCGAGGTACCACTGTACCAGCATAATATTGCCTCTGCCATTAACATTATCCTCACCACTGGGGAAGTTATCTGCGGTGATTTGTGTGTGTGGTTTTAGCATAAGCAGGAGTGACATCTAGTGATGAAGAGCGGAAAGTAACAGGTGCACAGCCCTTGAAACTGATGCCAAGGGAGGGAGGGCCTTTCCAGATGGGGAAACCCCAGGGTTTTTCCTCTTCATGCTTAAGTATCAGCATAAAAAGTGCTCTGTCTCATCATCACAACGCAGAAAGGGGGAGGGCTAAACAGCTCAAACGATGAGCCTACCACTGAAAAATGCATTGCATGAGCTTTCCTCGACATGGAACTCAACAAGGGAGAAAGGATTGCTTGCTCAATTGTTGGCAGCGCACTCCTCATCTGGTTTTGAGGACGGGTCGTTGGTTCCTTTGCTGTGCCAAAAGGTTTTGCTTTGCCCTTGCTGCAGATAAGCAAAACCGCTCACCATTGCGAATCCTTTCTAACCAGAATGCTAATCATTTTTTATCATCGCTGCTCCATTATTCACACACGCTGAAGCAATCTGCGACAAATGAAGTTAGATAATTACACCGCCGCGGATAACAAACAAAAACCTCTGGCACCAGCAGGTGCTGCGTGCCGTGTTGCAACAACGATTGTTTGTGCAATTCTGGAAATCAAGAACAGCAGAGTGAATTCTTTGCTGTGCTCTGCAGATGGCACATACAAATACTGCTTTGAAGATCCTGGTTTTGGAATCAGTAGCAGTGCTGTCGAAAAAAAGGCTCGTGGGCTGGCAGCAACTTGTGCAATCCTGTCCAGGAAACTAGCATGTCTACTGCCTTTCTCCCTGCTTGATACCATGTGGAAATGCTGTCATTTCTACTCAACATCAGGCTTGCTCACACATGACCCCAGGCAGAAGTGCAAGCTGCCTCTACATGTGTGCCGTGGTACCTCAGGTTAAGTACTTAATTCGTTCCGGAAGTCCGTTCTTAACCTGAAACTGTTCTTAACCTGAAGCACCACTTTAGCTAATAGGGCCTCCCGCTGCCGCTGCGCTGCCGGAGCACGATTTCTGTTCTCATCCTGAAGCAAAGTTCTTAACCCGAGGTACTATTTCTGGGTTAGCGGAGTCTGTAACCTGAAGCGTATGTAACCTGAAACGTATGTAACCCGAGGTACCACTGTACAAGTGTTTGTGTGAAAGAGTGTGCACTTGTTGATTCGTACAGCTCAGCTATTGTGAACAAGGGTACATGAGCTGCAAAGACTTGTTGGATGTTACATGCGAGTAATTGCATGAGTGTGCAACTCAACTATTTGTGCAGACAGATTGTACAATCACAGAAGGTAACTTGTGAACACCTCCACTCACATCTGTCATGGACCCCTCTAGCCAGCCTGTTTTATCCAGTGTTGGAGAGACTTTGAGACAGGATATCCGCTCACCCTTCAATTCACTGAGCAGCTTTGAACTAGTCCAAATTAGGGTTGCCTCTGTGTTTGTGTGTGTGTGTGTGTGTGTGTGTGTTTAAAAAACCTAACTTAAAATTCATTTTCACTTTTCACTTTTATCATCATACATAAATCATAATCATTTTACAAATAGGATTCTCAGAATCCTGGAACTTCCTTCCACCCCGCCATGGTTTCCCCAGATATTCTTTTCAAACTGCATCTTATCATATTCTCCATATTTTCTTAAAACCCAATTTATAGTTCTCGCTTCTTTGCAAGCGTTTTCAAAATCCTGCCAATGTTTTCAATTGCTTACTGTACAGTGTTCTTTCAAGTAACTTAAGAAATTTCCCCATTCTTTATTAAATTTATTGTCCTCTTTGATCTCTGGTTTTCCAGGTCGTTTTCGCCAATTTGGCATAGTCTGTCATCTTCATCTGCCATTCTTCTTTTGTAGGTAGTTGTCCTCCTTCCATCTTTGGGCAAGTATCACGCGCGCAGCTGTTGTAGCATACATAACCAGTCCTTGTAACTCTGCAGTTTGCAGTGGCTTGACCTGCAGGCATTGGGAAGTGATTGTGCTTCAGGGGTGGTCGGACTGCAATCTTCTTTAATCTACTTGGTGTTTTTTTAATAGCCCAAGATCTACCAACCATAACCAGGTGCAAAAGAGATGATTAGAATTAAAGAAGAAGCTTGCCTCTGAGCACATTCAGAGCTCACAGCCTTTGCACTCAAAAATCCATTCCAGGACAGCTTCTTCTTCTTTTTAAAAATCCCAGCAGCCTAATTTAGGTGGGGAAAGTAGTGTTCTTGTTGCTGTTGTTAAATAACCAGGAGTCAGAACCCCTGGCCGATCTGTTGCCCATACAGTGGTACCTCGGGTTAAGAACTTAATTCGTTCTGGAGGTCCGTTCTGCTGCCACCGTGCAATTTCTGTTCTCGTCCTGAAGCAAAGTTCTTAACCCGAGGTACTATTTCTGGGTTACCGGAGTCTGTAACCTGAAGCGTCTGTAACCAGAGGTACCACTGTAACTGCTCTATTATACAGTGGTACCTCGGGTTACATACGCTTCGGGTTACATACACTTCAGATTACAGACACTTCAGGTTACAGACTCCGCTAACCCAGAAATTGTACCTCGGGTTAAGAACTTTGCTTCAGGATGAGAACAGAAATCGTGCTCCGGCGGTGCGGTGGCAGCGGGAGGCCCTATTAGCTAAAGTGGTGCTTCAGGTTAAGAACAGTTTCAGGTTAAGAACGGACCTCCGAAACGAATTAAGTTCTAAACCTGAGGTACCACTGTAGTGGGAAAATAAACACCATCATTTGCGTCCTCAGAGCTTCATGCTGGGGAAAGCTTCCCCTGCTTCTTTCCACTGCTAAAGCTGCAAGAGTAAGTTGTGAGAGGGTTTGGCCAGGCAGGTGGCAATTTCCTATTCTGCTGCAGTACTAGCCAACCACAAAGTGATGCTTGCAAGATGTGCTTTCCAGTAAGCCACAAACCAATAGAGATTTGAGTGCTGCCAAGCCAACTGATTTCAGTGGACTTCACTGTACTTCGCTTGGGTAGCTGCCCATCTGAATGCAACAAGTGGCAGCGGACTTTGGAATTCTGTGTAATATAGGATTCTGTGCAGTCCAGTCATATGCCTGTTTTATCAGGAGTCACTCCATCTGAATACGGTGGGGATTCGGCCTCAGGGAAGGGTACGTAGGACTGAAGCCTTTTGTATAATTCCTAGGCGATGCGCTGATGCTCAGTTTCCATTGCAAACAATGCTATCATGCCTTGGCAATGTTATCCTACTTCTAATTCAGAGTGATGGATCTGGGGAAATGGAGTCTTTTCCCCCTGGCAGACTCCCATATTTTTTTGGTAAGGGTTCTCACCCCAGAAGAATTTTGATTGTCTGCCACCAATCAGGCTGAAGCTCTCCCCAAGTCCAGCTGCTTCTAAGCCTTATGGACCTAATGCCCCTGCTGTCGGGAAACGAAATAAAAACAAAGCAACATCAGTTTCATTTTCCCAAAGCACAGAAGATACACAATCTGCAGTCCCAGCACATGGGGAAACTTTTAGTGAGAAATACCTTTTTAAACCAAATGTCAAAGTAGATAAAGAAAGTTTAGTTGGGGAAAGGAAGGGAGGGAAGGAAGGCAGAAAACAAATTGCTCACAGACTGTCAAAATTAAATTGAAAAAGTCAATCTAACTTGGCTAACAAGGCTTCTCATCTGGATCCATTTCTAGGTGTTTATTCTGGGATTGCCACTCCTTGTTCACTCACTTTTAACAGGGCATCTACCTGACATCTCCATCCACTCATTCATTGCTCTCTTGTGTTTGTTAATCAAATATGGCAAGGCTCAACCTTCGAAAACCTCCTCCTAACAACAAAGGGAAACGGTAAAGGGACGGTATCTGCAATATACAAAATACTACTCCAAAATCCCGCAAATCCCCTAGACGCAATCAAAAAACAATGGGAGAATGACATAGGCTATGAGATTAACCCCACTCAATGGACCAGAATGTGGTCTAAACCTCCCTTTAAATCCATATCAACGAAAAGAAAAGAACTCACACTGAAACTCACCTACAGGTGGTACCTAACACCAAGGAAACTAGCGCTAATACACCCAGGAACCTCACCAAAATGCTGGAGAGGGTGCACCTCCACATGCACATACCTCCACATGTGGTGGGAGTGTCCCAAAACCCAACTATTCTGGACAAAAACCATACAAGAAGTATGTAAAATAACTAAGCAAGTAATAGACATCACCCCAGAATTGGCCCTACTAAACATCTTCCAAGACAACAATGCCCATTTACACCACAAAGAACTCATAACCCACCTGCTCTCAGCAGCCAGAAACACCATAACCAGACACTGGAGAGACCTGACACGGGGACAAACAGAAGAAGACGCCTTCACCCCGGTATGGCTCCCCTTTATCACATACACAGCCCAACAGGACAATGACAATAATCCACCAACAGCATACAAATCAATATGGCTAACCTGATCCAAAACACCCACCCACCTCACTCACACACAGCCAATCACAGATCACCACAGCCAATCACAAGCAAACAATCACACCCTAGGCCAACCCCAACCTCTCTCACCACCAAAGGAACACAAGTGAACAACACAAGCAACGCTGACACCAAACTCTACATACATTAAACATAATAGAAACACTGCCGCCCGACCCCACCCCCATCCATCTTCCCTCTCTCCACCCCCCCTTTCTTTTTTCTTTTTCTTTTTTCTTCTTCCTAATGCCTCAACAAATGAAACGGATTTGGAAAAATGTTACATGAAAAAAAAAATACGAGGCACTACACTTCTGTAAAACAAGAAAATCCTTAATAAAATATTTAAAAATATATATATATATGGCAAGGCTTGATTCTTCAGGCTAAAGCAGCTGGCCCCTCTCACCTTAAAGGGAGCCGAGCAAAGGACATTTCACTGAACACCTTGAAAGGGCATATCATTATTTCTTTGTATGGCCAAAACCAAATCTAGTACTTCTATGAAGGCAGAGGCTCTCCAGCATTTCAGGCAGGGGGATTCCCCAGCCCAGCCTAGAGACACCAGGGATTGATTCTGCATGCAAATGACGCATTTCTAATGGTGATGGTAGAAACATTAAAGGAGACCAGCTCTCAGATTAAAGCTGCAATCCTATGCACCATTTTGAAAACTGGCCTTACTTCCAAGTATGCACATAAAGGGCTGCAATGTCATTTGCCTGCATTTCTTTGCATTAAAAAAAAGTGGAAAGGCTGGAGAGGAAAGGCAGGAAATGTTTTTTAAAAGCTGTAAGCATTTACAAGATCTGAGAGCGGAAGGTATACTTCCATCATACACAGAGGTTCCATTTGGCATGTCAGAACATAAGAAGAGTCTGCGGTGATCCTCAGATGAAGGACAGGATAGAAATAATAATAAAAAAAATGGCCCATTTGGTCTAGCACATCCTGTTCTCACAGTGGCCAATCAGTTGCCTGTGGGAAATCTGCAAGCGGAACATGAGCACAAGAGCCTTCTCTCCTCCTGTGGTTTTCAGTAGCTAGAATTCATAAGCCTTGGTGCCTCCAATTGCAGAGGGAAACATAGCATGTATCCATTGATAACCTTATCCTCCATGAATTTGACTATTCCTCTTTTAAAGCCATTGAAGTTGGTGGCCATCACTGCCTCCTAGGGAGGGAAGAAGAAGAAGAAGAAGAAGAAGAAGAAGAAGAAGAGGAAGAAGAAGGGTTTGGATTTGATATCCCCCTTTATCACTACCCGAAGGGGTCTCAAAGCGGCTAACATTCTCCTTTCCCTTCTTCCCCCACAACAAACACTCTGTGAGGTGAGTGGGGCTGAGAGACTTCAAAGAAGTGTGACTAGCCCAAGGTCACCCAGCAGCTGCATGTGGAGGAGCGGAGACGCGAACCCGGTTCCCCAGATTACGAGTCTACCGCTCTTAACCACTACACCACACTGGCTCTCAAGGTAAGTTCCATAGTTTAACATGTTGGAATCAAGAACAGCAGGGTATTAAATAGAGGTGGTTTTAGGGCAGTGCGACTGGTTCTGCCACACTGGGCACCAAGCAGAGAGGGGGCACCCGCCCAGCTATGGGAAGGAGGCATGAGGGCTCTGACAGGGTCCTATAGTCCTCCCACCTTCTTCCCAAAGCCTGGCACAACACGGGGGCTAGGAGGGGGCAAATGTTGGCCTATCTCAGGGTGCTGTAGTACCAAAGGCTACCACTAGTATTAAATGCCTCTTGGTCCTTCAAATAATGGAGTTTGAAGTGGCAGCTCTTCCTTTCAGCATCAAACCGAAAAGCTTCTCTCATTTCTTGGCGCCTCTCTAATATGTGCAAGTCGCCTGAACTTAATGTGCACTTGTTTGAAGGATCACAACATTTGGAATTAATGAAACCCATCAAAATCCAAGACAAATTGGCGAGGTATGAATGATGGAAATTGCAAAGGAAGCCTTGATAGTCCCAGCCTGCCAAGAACCACCACAGATTCATGTTTTTGGCCTACTGATCAAACGGTGGTTACATAAATTGAGATTGCTGGTTGGGCAGTAACTAGGACAACAGGGAGACAAACACACCCAATCGTATCTCAGAATCCAAGATATTACTGAGAATAAAAGACTTCTGCCTATTTATTTGGAAAGGCTCAAGCCTTTTTCATTCCCTTTTGGGAAATATGCCATTTATCTGTGCCTCCGGGGCTATTCTCTCTAAGCACACATATCCCGGGCACCCTTCCAGAAATTCGCGGATAAATGCTGACTAAATATTGGATTTCAGTCAAGAAGGTACTTGGCACCGCTTAAGGGTTCAAGGGAAAATAGACACTGGCCTCTCTTTTGAGGATCACCATGTGAATTTCCAGAATAGACTATGGCACAACACAGGTCAAGGCTGTTAATCTTTTTTTTTTAAAAAAAAATAATATTTATTGAATTTTAAAGGGTTACAAAAAGAAAGAATTAAAAAAACAGCATATTTAAAAAATTCAAAACATCACATCACGATAATAAAAAAAAAGAAGCAAGAGGGGAAAAAAGAAAAAGAGAAAGAGAAAAAAAGAAAAATTACAATAAATCTTCCCATAACTTATCTTTCATTTGCTTATTTCCTTGACTTCCTCACACCTCCCTTTTTTGTATTCTAGTTCAATTAGCTATTTCAGCAAATCCTTTCCATCTTTCCCAGTTTTTGTCCTCTATTCTATCTTAATATAATGTAACTTTACTTTCCCTCCTTCACCATTTAGCAATCTATTTTTCCTTAATCCTTTATAGCATTTCTGCTAAAACCGCATTATTTCATTCCAACATCCTTCTAACATTCCTTAATTTTGCAATGTTTCTGTAAATAAACTTTAAATTTCTTCCAATCTTCTTCCACCAACTCTTCTCCCTGGTCTCGGATTCTGCCAGTCATTTCCACCAGTTCCATGTAGTCCATCACCTTCATCTGCCATTCTTCCTGGGTGGGTAGATCTTGTGTCTTCCAATACTTCGCGATGAGTATTCTTGCTGCTGTTGTGGCATACATAAAAAAAGTTCTATCCTTTTTTGACACCAATTGGCCGACCATGCCCAGGAGAAAGGCCTCTGGTTTCTTCAGAAAGGTATATTTAAATACCTTTTTCATTTCATTGTAAATCATCTCCCAGAATGTCTTAATCCTTGGGCATGTCCACCAAAGGTGAAAAAATGTGCCTTCAGTCTCTTTACATTTCCAATCTCTATCCTCTGACAACCTCATTGTATTTATAACCCACCTTTCATCCACAATGCTGAAGGTGGTGTGCATGGTTCAGATCTTCCCACAACAATCCTGTTAGGCAGAGAGAAAGTCCATGACACCTTTGGTAAAGGCTGTTCTCCAACTGGAGCGCTCGCAGGCCAATGTTTCCCAGTTGTCGGTGTTTATACTGCATTTTTTAAGATTTGCCTTGAGACAGTCTTTAAACCTCTTTTGCTGACCACCAGCATTACGCTTTCCATTTTTAAGTTCGGAATAGAGTAGTTGCTTTGGAAGATGATAATCAGGCATCCACACAACATGACCATTACTATCTAAAGCACCCTTCTCCCCAAACAGGACCTCTAAGTCCAAAATCACCTACTTGCACCACTGTCTAGAAAGAGGAGTTTTCCCAAAGCGCAGTTACAACTAGTTACAGCACTCTCTGCCAGGATGATATCTGAGGAACTGGAAGCCTTTTTTAAAAAAGAAACTACTGAAAAAGATAACATCAAACAAGTAGATGGGGAAAGCTAATGACTCTTCTATGTTCAGGGTGATTTCCCTGATCAAAGAGCTTTTGAAATTAATAAATGTTATACCTCTGGGTGTGGCCAGGAGAGGCAGAGAATAGGCAGAATCTTGTGATATGCAGATCAGAAATGAGAACAAAGTTTGAGAGTATAAGAAGACCTTTTCTGGATCATGCCCAAAGCCCATCTAGTCCAGCATCCTATTCTCACAGTGGCCAACAGATGTCTATGGGAAGCCCGTAAACAGAACCTAAATGCAACAACACTCTGCCCACTTGTGATTTCTGGCAATATGTAATGTATCACCTCCATGGTTAGAGACAGTATGGCTCTGAAGGAGACATGGGTTCCTCATGGCCAGTACCTGTGGCCCATCAGATGTTGTCATGCTCCCATTATCCCTGGCCAGCCTCGCCAATGAAGGATGATGAGAGGTGTAGACCAGCAACATCTGAAGGACCACTGTTTCCCCATCCAGGAGGTCAAAAGTACAGCCAAGAGTCCAAATGGTGGGTCATGCATAATGCCAGGGAAGATCCTGTTCCTTGAAGAGCATTGAGACAAATGAAGGGGAACACTGTCCCATCTCCTGAACGGACGTTTCAAACAGAGGATGGCTGCAGTGTACTAGTATTATGTTTCCAGCACTGAGTTGGCAGCTATGTCTTCATGAGACTTGAAAATAATGTGTTGCTCCTTCCTTTAGTTTTTGGCTTTTGCAGAGAGAGAAGGAATATTGCCGTATTAAATGAAGACGAACAGGAAATGCAAAAACCTGAAAGTATCCAAAGTGAAACCACAAACAAAACAGAACATGTCTCCAGGTGCTGAAAAAATGGGTTATATTTTCATAGCAATGCAACGTGTTTCAGCCAAGTTTTATTTAAAGGACTTTTCCAGGGATTTTTCAGAGATTAAATGGGTTTCAGCCCGCAGAGATGTTTAACTGGTGAGTGGCAACCCGCCAGAGACCTCCGCAGGCTGATGTGCATTGAACTGTGCTCACTGTTTTTCAGTATCCTGAGACACACTAAATTAGCAGGCAAGGAGAAAGGTAATATTCCCACCTCCTCCCCATTACTATAAATTACCATTTTTTAAGATTCACTAATAGTCTGCATTCTTGCTGGAATACACAAGTAAAAAAAAGTTCTTAGCAACTTACAACAATGTATTATTCCACCAGTGTACTAATTTCAGTGTTGATTTAGCAGATATGTATTCAAGGGACTAGAAATTAATGTTTCCTTCCTTTTGAGTTTTTATTATAGAGGATAATGTAAGAGCTTCCTTCTCTAAGATCATGCCTGGTCTTGTTATGCTCACTGTTCTCTGTCTAATTTGTCTATCTTTCCATCCTTGTCATCAATGTCTACATAATGCCCTTGGGCATTATTTAAACGTTTTGATTCTTCTGAAACCATTCTATTGCACATTTGCGCATTCAGCTGTCAAACATTAGTTCTCAACAAAGCCCTTTGGGCTGCAATCTTAATAAGAGCTGTTGAATTTAGTGGGACTTACATCTGAGTAAACAAGCATAGGATTATGATGTTAGTGTCCAAATTATCACTTCATTGAGCTTAACTAAGATAAACTAAGGAGTCTGCCAACAGGAGGAATTTTACTCTGATTTGAGTAGCAAGAGTCAACAATTATTAAATATAGAGAAGGAATGGAAGGCAATTATGCCATTGCTCTTCAGTCCTAAATACTGGGGTGTATATTGGCCATCTTGGCTGTGAGTCCTAGAAGACCTGCTCCTTGCCTTGCAGACCTTTTTCCAGGAGACCTGACTGACTCCAACTACAAAACCTGAGGCTGCTGGCCAGAGAAGGCCAGTGACGATCTTGGCTGTCTCTTAGTACAGACCCAGGTCATTGAGCCTGAGCTTCTACAGCTGCCACCTGCAGTGAACCACCATTGGCAGGACTGGCAGCAACAGAAACAGATATGTTCTATGCTTATGATAATATTTTATTTTCTTGGAAATTAAAGTTAAAGGTACCCCTGACTGTTAGGTCCAGTTGTGGACGACTCTGGGGTTGCACGCTCATCTCGCTCTATAGTCCAAGGGAGCCGGCGTTTGTCCGCAGACAGCTTCCGGGTCATGTGACCAGCATGACTAAGCTGCT